GATATCATACGCTATTTGCCTTTTTCTGACTTACTTCTGAGTGTGATCATCTCTAGGTACACCCATGCTGCAGCAAATAGCAGTCTTTCATTCTTTCTCACGGCTTAGTAACACTCCATTGTGTGTGCATACCACAGATTTATTTATCCGTTTATCTGCAGATGGTCATTCAGGTTATCTCCATCTCTTGGCTACTGTGAATAGTACTTCTAGCTCCCATTCTTGAGTTGGGTACCCAGTCTCAGTCCCAGCTGCATTCAGAGAACCTATTCCTGATCTCGCACTATCCTAGACCCTGAAGTTTCTATATATTCTTTGATAATCTTAAACAGGATAATGCTTCTCTGGCTGGTTAGGGTTCACACTTATAATTATAGAATATTAAAGGAATGTATCCCCTCTGCTTCCAGAGAGGTAGGTTCTTGAGGTGATGGCAGAACTTGCTACTCACATCCTAAAATTCATTTGGGGGGTGGGGGTGGGAAAGCAGACTAGAGTAGTCAAGATACGTTTATAAAAGAAGGTTGGTATAAGATCCTCACCACCAGGCATGAACATCTATGCTTAAGTCTAGAATAATTCAAATAGTGTAAAACTGGGACAGAAAAAGCCAGACAGATGAAAAAATCAGAATTGAGAGCCCAGAACTTCTGAATAAAGAAGCAACTTGGTTAGTATAAACATCTGTGTTTGTACCAAGAAAACTGCCGCTGCTGCTGCTAAGTCGCTTCAGTCGTGTCCAACTCTGTGTGACCCCATGGACAGCAGCCCACCAGGCTCCTCTGTCCACAGGATTCTCTAGGCAAGAATACTGGCTGGGTTGCCATTTCCTTCTCCACCACTAAAATAAAGTTGGGCTAATTGTCAGTCTTGAAGAGAATTTAATATAGTAGAGCTGATATTTTTATGATTAGATAAAAATCACTAATCTCAGTATTGTGTAGAAAAGAACAGCATGTACTGAGGATTCCTTCTTGTTCTAAACTTAATATCTTCTCAGATCTACTTATTGGTTCCTAGGCAATTTATGGAAATTTCTAGAATGACATAAATATTGCCTAACTCAAATTGGTCACAGTAATCACCATGCTTTATTTTAACATTCGGGGGACATATCACATTGTTTTCGATTATCTCTTTTTGTCCTTAAATGTGACATTGTAGAGATTTTTTTTTTAATAAGAAACTTACTTTTTTAAAAAGAAAGAAGCAACTTGAGCATAAACACAGGACTCTCAATTCTGATAATGATGACCAGAAGAATGCAAAACTGGAGAAAACAAAATTGCTTTGTTTCTGAAAGCTAAGATGGATTGACACCTGACTGCCAGAACCATATGAGAATACGTTGGGATGGCGTGGAAAAGACATCAAGAGCTCCCTTCCTTTCACCTCCCAAAGATAACCATATGGCCTCAAATGAAGCGAAGAGAGAGCTCCATGGATACCTGTAGTGTGTAGCTGGTTGGACCTGGGAGCAGGGGTTAGGCTTGGACTGGAAAGCAGCCCTCTGCTCAGAGTATTTTTAGCTACAGTGGAGCAGTGGAGGTTTGCCAAGGGCTCTGGGGACGCAGATGACCACAGCAAGCTGAAAGCAGAGAGGGCAGTGAACCACAGAGACCATCAGGGACGGAGGCCAGGCAGTCACTGAGGACAGCGGTGTCCAGAGGTGAAGGCCACTGGCGGTACGGTTTTGGCCCCAGTGTCAGGACTCTCCCAGGTGCAGCAGGAAGCAGGCTCAGAAAGGGATGTGGTCATTCAATCTCCACCTCTAGCCTTGGAGCTTTGCCAGACCTGGAGAAGAAGCCTCCCAGGGACAAATGCCACTGTCAGGATCATCCTGCCCTTGGCAGTCTGGCCTTTCCCTCTAGGCTTGGAGCGCTGAACCAACAGCCTGCCCACCAGTCCTTCACTGGAGAGAAGGACTGCAGCAGCTCCCAGGTGACAAGAGGGGCAACGCCAAGGGCGCTGGGTGACCAGCCATGCTTCACTTAGCTAGTGAGAAGAACACGATCTTTACAGTTCACCCAGCTAGTTACCATTGCTGATATACTCTAGTCATTCTTGAATACCCTGATTTCCTTCTGATATCATTTCCCTTCAACCTGAAGAATTTCCCTAAGTATTTACTGTAGTCAAGTCTGCTAGCAAACAAATTACCTGATTTTCTCCTTTACCTGAACTATCTTTATTTCACCTTCATTTCTAGAGGATATTCTGTGTTCTGGGTTGATAGTTTTCTGTTTGGTTTTCATTTTGTTTTATTTTCTGGACTGTGATTTCTGCTGAGAAGTCTGTGGTTATTTAAATCAATGTTTTCCTTTATGTAATGTTTTGTTTTTCCTGGCTACTTTCAAGATTTTCTCCTTCTCTTTGGTTTTCAGCCATTGGATTATGATGAATCTAAGTGTGGTTTTTCTGTGACTATATCTGGTTTGGGGTTTGTTGAACTTTCTGAATCTGTAAATTTCTGTTTTTCACCAAATTTGGGGAGTTGTGGCAATTATTTATTTTTCTGCTCTCTTTCTGGGGCTCTAGTGAGCTGATTATTATATATAGATCAAGTAGATCTAATGATCTAATTGATGCCTTTGAACTGTGGTGTTGGAGAAGACTCTTGAGTGTTCCTTGGACTTCAAGGAGATCAAATCAGTCAATCCTAAAGGAAATCAATCCTGAATATTCATTGGAAGGACTGATGCTGAAGTTGAAGCTCCAGTACTTTGGCCACATGATGTAAAGATCTGACTCATTAGAAAAGATGCTGACTCTGGGAAAAATTGAAGGCAGGAGGAGAAGGAGATGACAGAGGATGAAATGGTTGGATGGCATCACTGACTTGGACATGAGTTTGAGCAAGCTGTGGGAGTTGGTGATGGACAGGGAACCCTGGCACGCTGCAGTCCATTTGGTCACAAAGAGTCGGACACGACTGAGCGACTGAACTGAACTGAACTGAACTGAATGAGCTGATGTTGTTAACAGACTTTTTGATACTGGGGTGCAGGAACCTGAGGGTCTGACCACTTTTTTCATTTTCTTTCTCATCTTCAGTTTGCTCTGTGTTCAAGTGTACTGACTTGATATTCATTCTTTTTTTAAGGCCTTTTGGTGAATTTTTTTTACTTCAGATATTCTACTGTAAATCTTGTATTTCCATTTGATTCTGTTTTGTGTGTTCAGTCCTAAAATGGAGTCACATGAGACTGTTCAGCGAAGCACAGTCTAGCCTCCAAAAGGAATTGATAGCAATTCAGCAACATTGGTCTCTCCCATGAAGGTTGGTGAGAAGCCAATTCAAAACCCATAGCAGCACCTTTAAAAATTACCTGTCTCCATTACTCTTTCAGAATATCTTTTTTTTTTTATGTTTATGTATTTGTTTTTGTGCTGGGTCTTCCTTATTACACAGGCTTTTTCTCCAGTTGTGGCAAGCGGGGACTACTATTCCTTGTGGTGTGCAGGCTCCTCATTGCAGTGGCTTCCCCTATTGTGGAGCACGGGCTCTAGGGCTCAGTAGCTGCAACTCCAGGGCTCTAGATAGAGCACAGGCTCAGTAATTGAGGCACAGGCTTAGTTGCTCCATAGCACATGGGGTCTTCCCAGATCAGAGATCGAACCCGTGTCTCCTGCATAGGCAGGCGGGTTCTTCACCACTGAGCCACCGGGGAAGCTTGTCTCAGTATATCTTATGACTGCGCTTGCTCTGAAGCCTCACTGTGGAGTAGTAAATGAACTTGAAAGACAGCTGTATAGCCTTTTCATTTTCCTCCTCTCCATTCTAATTTTCTCTTCATGAAAGCAATGCTTGTTCTCTCTTTTCATTATAAGGTGATCAAACCAGTCCCTCTCTTTGAAAATTTCTGCTCTTTCTGTTCTCATCCTGAGCAGCTTAAACCCAGAAATCAAGACAGCAAACTCTGAATCTCCCTGAGAAAACGTACATGTCCAAAGATAGATTCTTTTAGGGGGTTAAGTGAGAAGAGCAGAAGGAAATCATAAATATTACACTTATAATATATATCATATATGTAACTACTTACATACATAAATATATGTGATATATATGTAATCTACTTGTGCTACAGATAGTAACAGAAAGTTCCATAATTTATAGTTTGTACAATTTATAGTGTTTTACATTTTCTAACCAAAGCATGACTCCACTGGCCCTTCTCTGAATTTCCAGGTGAATTCCAGACTCTCATAATAGTACCATTTATTATTTTAATATTTATTTCATATATTTATTTGGCTGTGCCAGGTCTTATTTGTGGCACACGAACTTCCAGCTATGTTGTGGCATATGAACTCTTAGTTGCAACCTGAGGGATCTAGTTCCCTGAGCAGGGATCAAACCTGGGCTGCCGGCATTGGAAGCGTGGAGTCTTAGCCACTGGGCTTCCAGGGAAGTCCCAGTACTCCCATTTATTGATGATTTATGGTACCAGGCACTCTACTAAGCAACCCGCATACATGTTTTAATCAAACAATAGCAATCCCACAGGGCATGGTTCCCATTTACAAATGAAAAACCTGAAGGTCAAAGAGGTTGAACAACTTGCCCAGAGTTATCCATCCAGGAAGGGGCCAGATGTGGGACTTGAACCCAGGTGACACTTTCAAGACGAAGCCTTCTTTACTCTGTCTCCTATTTTGAAATCATGGCAGCATTTGATGGTATTCACCTCCTAGGTAATATAGCAGGGGGAGACAGAATGCGATGCTGTGAAAACAATGTTCACTTCAAAGAGGAGATGAGACTTCTAGTCTCTGGTGGTCACTCACTTGCTGGAAAACTCTGCAACCCCTCAGCTTCTCTCATCCTTTCTTGTCCGTGCCCACAACAAAATGCAAGCGTCCTTCACACACTTCAGACTTTCAGAACTGTCCTAGAAATAATATGAGAAGAGTGATCAGGCAAAAAAAGATGTGAGGCAAATAGAAGTGATCACAGTCAGTCTCAGCCCAGCTCACATACTAACACTACCTTTTCTAAGTTTTACAGTTACGACTCCAACAGAGAAGGACCCAAGAACAGCTGGCTAACCAAGGCATCGTACCACGTGAGTAGCTCTGTTTCTTATGGGCTGGTCTCTATGGGGGTGACTGGGGTGGGGGGAACATGTGATTTGGGAGCTGGAAAGCACCTCAGAGGTCATAATCCAACTTCACGGATCAGTCTCCCCAGATCCTCACGGACTCTGGGTCAGCAGGAATCCCAGACCTTAGAGGCTTTGTCCCAAATGCTACTCACATGCCAGGGCTTCCTTTTACTCACAGAGGTTTGCACCTAAAATTCTAATGTAGTGGATTTGATTATAGGACAAACACAACTCTATGGGCCTCCATCCCCACTCCTATTTTTAGAATTGGATATAATCACTGTTCTTCCTGGAAGCATTAATTGTATCATCTTTCTCTCACCTCCTTGGTTTCACTTCTGTTTGAGTACTTGAGTCCCCAGTTAATTGAATATTGTCAGTTGCTTCCTTTCTGGAATAATGAGCAGCAATACCATTCTAGTATAAATGGTATAACAAATTACTGGCCATCATTTGGGTCAAACAAGAAGGATTATCCTATCTTTTGGAAGGTATATTTGAAATTTCCTACCTTGAAACTTGAAAACTTCAAGTTGAGCAGTTGAAGCTGCCTTCTGGTTAGCTATAAAAACAGAAAAAGTACCAGATAAACAGAATCACCATGTAAGCTCCTTTAGGTCACACTTTCTAACTTCTTCCCACAGAAGTTAAAATTTTTAATTTTTTAATTAAAATTTAAAAAATCAAAATCCATAATGACTCCTGCAGAAATCCAGATCTTTGTCCAGACTGTGACTTCATAGTTAAGCATGCAACAAGCAAACATTTGCCCTTGATTGAATGTCCTACAGTTAGTAACCTTGGTGCCCTGTGATCCAAAGTCTAAACATTTTAAGTATAGTCGGTGCTTCAGAACCAGAAGAGAACTAAGAATATTTCAAGCTCTTTCCTTTGGGAATTCAGATGAAGTTCTTTGTTCATGGCTCAGCCCTACAAAGAATAAACAGCAGGTGACCTATGGCAGAACAACTTTTTTTAGCGATTTGCTAAGCGCAAAAGAAAGATCTCACCCTACAACTGAAAGGTTGCTTCGATCAAATGTACAGTTAGAATGAGAAACCAATGTCATGAGGCTGTGTGGTCTGTTTCATCTTTGCCAGCCCAGCAAGGCAGGTGTTAAAACACAGGAGAGACCCGGAATCTACAGGCTTCATGTCAGATAAATACACTGGCACTCAAAGCCGAGCAGGCCAGTCTTATTTCTGAATCCTCTTGCAAACGTGTAGAATTGAATTTGTTTAACCACCATCTAGAAGAGCGATTCACTAACAGTGGAGTATAGACAAGTGTAGATCCACCAGGATCCTCTCAGCAGACCACAGTCTCTACCACATGCCCTCAAATATAAGATGAATACACCAGTTTCAGGGGGATTAAAATAATCAGTTCTTTCATGGGGGCTTCCCAGGTGGCTTAGAGGTAAAGAATCCACCTACCAATGCAGGAGACTTGGGTTTGATCTCTGGACCGGGAAGATCCTCTGGAAAGGAAATGGCAAGCCTCTCCAGTGTTCTTGCCTAGGAGACCCCAAGGACAGAGAAGCCTTGCTGGCTACAGTCCACGGGGTCCCGCAGAGCTGGACACAACTTGGCAACTAAACAATAACAACAGCAATCCTTCATGGGCATCTCTTTCCCTTAATTCTGGAAAGGCAATTGAAGTAGAGAGACCCAGTACCTTTACATCTGCTCAAGCTGTTCACAACTGATTTAAAGTTTAACCTACGTGTTTAAATAATCCAAACCTGGGTCTTGCAGCTGCCATTTGAAGGAGAATAAAATTTTCTTTAAGGTTTCTGGAGTTAAATTTCAGGAGTAAGACACCTAATAAAAACAGGAATGAATCCTATGGCACATTTTTACATAACACCCCTATGTAAGGCATGCAAATTAAATGTCCATTTGCAGAGTAGAGTCCAGTGGAGATAGAATATTTTGTTCTCCAGGATTTCCAGAATCAGATAGTGTGGGGCTTCCCCAGTGGTTCAGATGGTAAAGAATTTGCCTGCAAAGCAGGAAAAACAGGTTCAATCCCTGGGTCAGGAAGATCCCCTGGAGAAGGGAATGGCAACTCACTCCAGTAGTCTCGCCTGGAGAATCCCCACGGACAGAGGAGCCTGGAGGGCTACAGTCCATGGGATCGCAAAGAGTCGGACATGACTAAGTGACTAACACTTTCACTTTTTTTTTCACTTTTCTCCAGGATTTCCAGAATCAGATAGTGTATATATTAATGAAGTACTGCTTAACAGAAAGTTTGCACCCATAGCCCATTGTGTCTTGAAGACAGTTACTGGGGAAAGTCCTATGAGTCAAGTAGTGATGTTTCCTTTTTAATTCAGCAAAACGAGAAAGGTAGATTAAGCAGCATCAGTTTCCCATAGTCTTCAGCCACCTCCTCTCCGAGGGTGTCACTTCTGCTGTAGACAGTTGTCAAAGCTACAGCAGGTGCACCCAGCCCAGTGCAGGCTCAGCTCCAGGGACTTAGCACTTCTGGGGAAGCTGGACCCAGACAAGCCTCTGCACCTGCTGAGATGTGAAGCCCAGATGGTAGCCCCATCATCCCAGAGCCTAAACACCAGTCTCTTTACTCAGCCACCCCACCACCACCAAGCACATGTGTGTAAAGGCAGTTGCTCCAGAGAAGGAAGCAGGAACTCACAGTATCTGGGTCTTTTCTATTCAATCAGATTCAACATATTTCATGATGACCCAGACTCTGTGCAGCATGGTATGCTGGGCTCTGTGGGGACCACCGTGAGCACGACTGTACTTTGTAGAGGCTTGAGATTTTAGGGGGAAAGGTGACAAGAAACACAGAAGGTGGGACAGGTTATATTTCCCAAGAGGGCTTTTTATAGCTTCCTTCTATCATCTGAATTTTCTGAAGCAGAAGGAAGGAGGAAAGGAGGAAGAAAGGGAGTAGAACGGAGGGAAGCAAAGCTGATAGTCATTGGAGATCACCTAATTTGATGATTTTCGGTGTTTTTTAATAGATAAATTGTGTGTTATGTGTGTGTGTGTGTATATATATATATTTACATACACACACACATATACTGGCTGGAACAAGGTCAGGGGCCTCTGCCCCACTCACTAGGCGCCCCTCACCCCTCTTAGATAACCCTGTTTCTCTTCCCCAGGGTCCTCTGCAAAGAGAGTTTGAAAACCCTGCCCTAGTCCACATCTCACTGTCTTTAACCTTCATGAAACTGAGATTGGAGAGGCCTCAGAGATGCTTTAAACATCCCAAAGCCAGAGCCCAAAGCGGTCCTATTTACAAACTTGATCTGCGAGACTTTAAATGCATGCACAGTAAAATGATAACACAGCCTCACGTTGTCCATAACACTGGAAATAACTGCAGTGCTCCCCCTGAATTTTCAGACCTGTTACAAATTGTTCAAGTGGCTAGCTGCCGGCCAGGTGAATTGTTCATTGTCCTTCTGTTACTACCAGGTAGCCCTGCTGGTTTTAGTTTGTTCACAGAAACACCTGCTCTCCTTGGACAGAATTAGTCTTGAGTTGTACATTAGACTGACCCAAGGCCTTTGCCCACTGCAAAAAGAAGAAATTGCAGCCCCCTCCTGGGGCAGCAGCTGAGGCCAAAACCTGCCTCTCTTGATCCTGGAGTAGCAGCCAGCACAGAGCCCCTTTAAGCAGTATGAAAGCGCTCTCAGCCAGAAGTGCACCTCCAGGCTGGCTTCTAAGATTGCTTTCACATTTATAGTATCATTGGTGGAATTCACATTTTCAAGAGTCGTGAAACCTGAGTGAACTAGCCTCTCGACATTAGTGTAGAAATATTACTTTAAGAATTTATGGTTCAGACTCCCTTCCAGAATCCCACCTCTGAATCTCAAAAGGAAAGTTTCAAATTGCCTACTTGTCACCACCAACTGGAATTCAGAAGCATGGCTCTGCCACCGTCCCCGTCAGGCTCAAGGCTGCAAGAGGACATCAGGGTTCACTTATTTTTTCTTGTTTTGGGACACAGTCCCACCTCCTATCCTCCCGGACACCTGTGGGCAGGCTCAGGTCTGGTCATCATTTCTCCTGCAGGTTTTCTCCACTACATTCTTCTCTTTGGGCACCAATCTCATGGGTTGAAGGGTAAATGCTGTGGGTCAGATGGTAAAGAATCTGCCTGCAAAGCAGGAGTCGTGGGCCCGATCCCTGGGTGGGAAAGTTCCCCTGGAGAAGGAAATGGCAGCCCACTCCAGTATTCTTGCCTGGAGAATCCCATGGACAGAGGAGCATGATGGGCTACAGTCCATGGGGTCGCAAAAGAGTTGGACATGACTGAGTGACTAACACATATCTCCTGAGTTGAATCTTAAATACTGTTTTATTCCAACCCCTTCAGAAGTCTTAGTGCAGAAAGAGAATCAGCTCCGAGTTTTCGATGAAAAAAAGAAAAAGTCACAGAGCAGTTCAGTAGATATTTTGACCATCTGTTGGGAGAAAAGCCCCATGGAACACAGAGAAGTTAGACGTGAATTCTGTTTCAAAGAGCTTACCGTCTAGAATGTTCTCCCCATTCTCCTGCTTAGTTATGCCTGTTAACAATATTGGACAACATCTCACCACTACATGGAGTAGGTTTCTGGGAGATCTGAAGGAAAGAAATGACTTTCTCTCTCCTTCTGCTAGTACACTGGGGCTGATCTCTATGAATCCAGGGGAGAGAAGCAGGAACATTGAGTTGATTCTCCTGGAATCCAGAAAACGGCATTAGAGAACTGAAGTCAATTACAGAAGCCCAGGGGGCACCCAAGAGGCTGCGACTTCTCCGCGGAGACTCAAAGAAAGCCCTGCTGGCCAGAGAGAAGCATCTGGGCAGCTTGTTCCGTGGTCTGACGGATGGTGATGAATGGAAAGATACGATGAGCTGTGTGTGAATGGTGCTGCCTTTATTTGTTTTGCAGACTAATCCAGGCCTCCGCAGCCACATTCTTACGGCAAAGCCTTGGTAAATCCCTCAGTTCTGTGGTCCTCCTCCTGAATAGCGAGAGGCGTCATGGGCCGGTTCCTGCACCCACAGCACACGCAGCTTCTTGATAGTTTTGAGAAGTTGGCGGGGCAGAGTCTTCCTTCCTTTCCTCAGTGCCTTCCTCTGACTTGGCTTCTCCCCACAGCACCCACTCCCCCGCCCCCCCACTGTTGGCTGTTTGAGCAGAACACGGCACAGGGTTTCATCTGTCCCCCTTCCCTCCCTCCTAACATCTCAAATGTGGAGTGAGAAAAAAAAAGCCTCCTCAATTTTCATACCAAGCCCATTTGGGTCCTAAACCCTAACTTTTCTATTTCCCCCAGCTCTTTCGTTCTATTTTCTAGTTCCTTGCTCCTTAGAAATTAGTCAACTAGTAATGCAGGCATCATGGGAATGTATCTGTGGACCCTTCTGAGAAATTCGGAGTATTCATGTAGAAGGCATTGAATTCCCTAAGCATGCAAGCCATAATATTACAAAGTTCCACTGGGAAAAGGCAATCTTTTCAGACCCCCTGAGACTATCCTTTGGGTCCTGAACGGGCCATCTGTTGCCACCCTAAAGAGATGAAACAGTTTCCAAAGTATTAACCACACGTGCCTAGCATGGATCCCATTCATTTGGAAGAAAAATACTCCTGGTCCAATTTGTCTTTAAAAGCAAAGCCAATGGACTTCCCTGGTGATCCAGTGGTTAAAACTCTACACTCCCAATACAGGAGGGTGCAGGTTCGATCCCTGGTTGGTGAGCTGAGATCCCCCATGCCATACAGCATGACCAAAAAAAAAAAAGCAAAGTCAAGAGGACAAGCATTGCTAAACCTGTTTGTAAGTGGGAAACTGAGAACATGGGAAGACTCTCAGACTTGTTCAAGGCTGCACCAGAAATAGATGGCAAAGCAAGGACAGAACCCAGAGGGATGGCTCCCAAAACTTTAGTCATCCAAGACTTCTTTAATTATACCCATGACTACTGTAGAACTTGTATTTAAATCAGTTTTGTCTTCCTCCCCCCAAGCCCCTATATATATGAATTATTATCCATATATCTGTCTTTGATTAATTAATGGCATATAAACTTACCAGCCAGTGCTTTTTGATGAGAACAAGCAGTTCTTAACCAAGTTGTTCTGCTTCTAGGCAGCAACTATGAAAAGTGGCAGTTTCATGAAACTAAGCAGCCTTTCTCTGGACAAACACACCCTTTTTCTTCAGTTTTTTGAAATACTGAAAAATCTGTCGTAGACATCAGCCACCCCTTCCAAAGTCTCTGATTCCCAAGTACCTCTGATCCCATCTACAGATCAGGACCTACTTGCCATGGAAATGCCAGAGAACCAGAATCCCCCTGGGGGGCTTGTCCGAACACAGACCCTCTGTCCCTCCACCTCTCACCCATGCTTTGGATTCTGTAGGTCTGGGTGGGGCCTGAAAATTGGTACTGTTAGCAAGTTTCCAGATGATGCCAAAGATGCTGGTCCAGGGCCACACTTTGGGAACCACTGCCCCAACTGCTGACCCAGAACACCAGCTCTTGGATGCAGCCTCTTGGTCTTGACCCGTATACTGGAGGAGGAGCTGGGTTCTCCCCTCCACCCCCGAGTGGAGAAGGCAGGCCCCGCCTCCGCCATCAGAACTGCCACCAGCCCCAGGCTCCTCTCCCTAACAGATTGTCAATGGCCCTCCAGCCTGTTTTCTCTTTTTTCCGGGTCCCTGTTGGAGGCAGGAGGTTAGAAGCAGGGGACCACCACAGGAGGTCTGTTCTTATCTTGGGATCTTTTCCTGAGCTCTAAGTAAGCAAATGTTTATACACACAGCTGACCCAAATTAGCCGGAGCTGCGCGGACAGAAATAGGAATAGCCCGTGACTAAACTCCTCATCGAGAACATGAATTCCCCTGTGAGAAGCGATTCATCTTCCTCCCAGGGGATGAGTGAGACGTGTGGCTGACTGAATTTACAACCGTATTTTAATTTGGAATCACATTGACTTATTTTTTTTTAATTTAGCAATCCAAATTCCTTTTTCAATCCTAAATGTCAATGTCCCTTAAATACAGAATGTTGCCATTTGATACTCTCAGGGCTGTCAGCAGAGGAGTTCCTTCGTGGATTTTCCAAAAAGTCAATGTGGTGCACGGGGATGCAGTTTCACTTTTCTTGGCCCTTGGGGGGAGGGACTGAAACCCTCTTTTCTCTGGAATCCCAGAAAAGATACATGTCAATCACAGAGGCCATGGCAGGCCAATCCAGTGCCCCATGTAACATCCTTTAAGTCCTGGAAAGAAGAGTGTGGGGTACAACCCAGTGTGTGAATCTTTTTAGCTTCCTTCCCAAGTCCTTGATGAATGGTCATAGCCTCTCCCACTTTGTGGCAGAAGGTTCCAGAAGACCATTGTGCACCTGGCATCAGAGAACTGGACTGTTCAGTCATTTCACAGGGGAACTGTTACCACCAAAGAGTGATGAATTGTAATTCTGCAGGCTAAGATACAGGAAATGAAGCATTTCATGGAAGAGTTAATAAGCTCCACTAATAAGAATCAAAAAGCCTCAGAGATAAGAGAAGCAGATAAATTCCCCCTAAACCCTAAGCCCAATTAAAACCAATTGAGTCTGGAATGTAAAAGCCATCTCAAGATAGATTCATGCTGTCCCCTTAGGGCTGCTTCTTAAGGAAAAAGTTGTGTCACTCTTTTTAATGACTTAGTAAGGAAGGCCACACTAAAATCAACTCCTTTTCTGGATTATGGAAGGGATTAAGCCACATCAGTATATAATACCTAGGTGACCACCAGACTGTTGGACAGAGGTGAAGACCTATGGGTCCAGATGGTGCAGGCTCATCAGGACCCAGTGGCCCTCGAGCAACTTTGTAGGATCTGGTTGCCTGAGGAAATGGGAGATGGTTTCAGAACTCCATCAGTGTAAACTGCAGCTGTGATCAAAGGCAAATAAAGACAAGCCTCCTGACTCAGGATGGGGGTCAGACCCAAGTCAGAGAAAATGTATGAGCAATGCAACAGACCCGCACATTTTTCCAGAGCCACTGAGTCAGGGGACAGGGGAGGGGAAAGAGGCCACTGAAAAGGGCAGAGTTGGCAGAGAGTTTCCTTTTAAGAGTGAAAAGCACCAAAGAGAAACTGGAGGTGTTAGATCAATGGGAGATGTGTTGGTCAAGCAACAATTGATTTTTTTCCTCCTATGAAAAGGAAGCCCCTTAGTCTCTGGTCAAATTGAGGAGAAAAGGACTTGTCCAGTCTCCTTGGCACAGGGCAGCCTGCTGGGACCAGTCTGCCTGTTCCGTTGGTCAACTCTGCAGTCGTTCAGGTGAGATAGGAAAGTCTGGAGAGAGATGCCTCAGTAGCTCCCCAAGCTCCCCAAGCAATATCCAAGGATAATGGTCTTGACCAGCTGCCGGCACCAGAGTGGAGGCTCCCTTCTCTCCAACAAGCCCGTCCAAGAGCTGGGCTCATATGCGGCATGGTTTTGAGGCTGAATGAGACACACACATTCACACGCATGCACATGCTCACACATTCACACACACAGCCCCAAGTGCCCATCTGGTTAGATATCCAATTTTTTTTTTTTATACCAGCCAAAGTTTGGAAGACTGTTTCCTTGCCTGCAGCTTGGAAGTTGACATCTTTTGAAGTCATACTAGAATCCTGGATCGCATGATCCACTCACTTGTCCAGACCTCCAATCCAGGAGAATATTCGATACAATTCTGCAACCGCTGATCAACCTCATCACTTCTGATGAAAAGTTACCATTTATGGCTCTGGGTTGTGATTGTCCCAGGGGATCAGGAAAGGCAATGAAAAGGCAGATTTTTGCAAAAGCAAAGTCAAAAGTTCATCACTGTGAGGCATTGCTGGGAGCTGGAAGGAGGAGAAGCAGCAGGGTCGTGGAGAGAAGGGAGGCTGGTGTCCGGTCCAGGTTGTTTCTGGCTGCTGTGGACTGTGATGGACCAGTGCCCATGTCTACTGGTTGTCAATGTTTTGAGCATCACAGCTAAAGAGAAGTTAGATGGTCAGAGGACCTAGGCTCCTAGCCCTACCAGTGTGACCCTGGGCGAGTTAATCCCATTCCAAGGGCCTTAAGTTTCCCCTTTATTTCACCATCTCCAAGGTCCCTTCCAGCCCTCAAAGCCTCATTCTGTGCTTCTCTCTCAACACCCTTTGGTTGCATGTTCTTGCCCGACCAGCCACCTACCTGACCCAAAAGGACAAATTGCCTCCCACAACATGGATCACAGCCCTTCCACTGACCTTGACCTCCACCCAGACTTCTGCGCTCAAGGGCAGGGCAAAGTCAAAGAGAGTGGTGGTCACCCCAGTCTCCCCATTTCTCTAAAACTAGAGCATCACCTGTCCCCACCCCCAGGCCTGCCCCTCTTGGGAATCTTGGAATGCCCTGTCTCTGCCACTCCTCTTCCTGTCGCGTATTCTGCCCGCGCTGCTCCTCCTGTTTGAGGCTGACGTCCACCTTTCTCTGTGCCCTCCGGCCTCGGGGAAGCTGGTGACCTCCAGGCCTTTCCTCTTCAACTGCTTGTGGCCTGAAGAAGGCGATCACCTCCCCCCACCCCGCCCCTGTGCACAGCTCAGCAAGCACATCGGTAAACACCACCACGCTGCTCCAGGCCCCAAGGCCCCCTGCTCACATCTGTATCTTTCTGTTTCAGCCCTGAAAAGCCCACCTGAATTCCATGAACAAAGAAAGCATTTGGATAGTGACAAGGTAAATTTCTGCAAACCTCCCATCTTTCTGATATCAGACTCTAGGCTATGGATCCCCCGGTGCTAAGTTTGGGCAAATTTCTCCTACAGTTGACTGGTCCCCTCCCCCCACACTGTGTGGAATCTTCCTCCTAGGCTCTGAAAACTGTGGAAATAGGATCAATGATGTTGGCTTTGAAACTGCTATTGGTGAGCTTTTAAAAAAAGATGTCCCCAGTCTTTCTGATGTCGATCAGGGCATCCCTGCAAGGAGTTTTCAGAGAGACATGAAATGAGGTAGGTAAGATAGGTTGGCAAGCTGGCCTCTCTTTCATGACAGGCATTTCTCAGCAACGATCAGATGATTTTAAATCCAATTCAGTGGTAGGGTAAGGCCTGCGGATACGGGGCTTACTCAAGGCTATTTAAAAGCGAAAGGGTTTCCCTGGTGGCTCAGTGGTAAAGAATCCGCCTGCCAGTGCAGGAGATGCGGGCTCAATCCCTGGGTTGGGAAGATCCCCTGGAGAAGGAAATGGCAACCCACTCCAGTATTCTTGTCTGGAGAATCCCATGGTCAGCGGAGCCTGGTGGGCTACAGTCCGTGGAGTCGAATAAGTTGGACACGACTGAGTGACTAAACTACAGAGGAAGGCTAAAGGAATTCTGTTTATTTCTCTTTCTTTTAGCGTTTGAGGGGGGAAATTAGCATGTATTCTATACCTTCAGAGGAGGTCTCTGCAACTTGAATTTATTGATACTGTAAGTGCTAATTAGGGAGCATCAGCAGTGCCCCTAGAAGGAAGGCCAGCAGGTGTCCTCCTGGGAGGTCACTGCTAGAGAGTCTAGGCTGGCAGCTAGTGAGGGGCTGGGGGGCGGGGAAGAGGGGCAGAGCTTCAGGACTCCCTAGAGCTGCTCATGGGAGGCTGTGCTTCCTGCTGCCTGGAGAATAACTGCCTTTCATCAGAACTGGAGTGAGCCCCAGACCCCTCTTTGGGGGGCCAATTAAGAGATTCAATACAGTGAGATCAGAACCCAGAAATGAGGGCCCTGAAGTCCAGTTACGGCTCTGCCGCAGCCAACTCCATCTCTGCAGACAACTCCATCATCAAGAAAACTTTAAGACTCAATAAATACTACATCTGTAAGTGTCCTTGCAGCTTCAACGTGGCTCTCAATCTGCAGGATTCCCATTTTCACATCCTGAGACAGAACTCAAGGGAAAAACAGGAGGAGGGCATGTGTTATCATGTTATACTGGATGTCATGAGGTTACATTTCATCTCTGACTCTAGTTAATTCGTGATTCCTTTACAAAATAAGGTTGGCTATAATATAAGCAGCATGATGATATCAGTTTTATTAATATTTTATGAATAGGTACCTGTCTGCTCTTTAATTTTGGAGCGCTGAGGTGGACCAAAGCTTTTGACATCTTTGTCTTATTTCTCCATCCTGAAATTACTAGAGCGGTTTAACTAGATGAGTCCTCCTTCATCAGAATGTAGAACAGGGATATTCGCAAGTTTCATTTGTAAGAAGGTAATGCTTTTTCCTTTTGAGAGAAAGGGGGTTTCTTTCGAAGTTAAAATTAGACGATTCAGCTGTATGATACTGAGAGTGGAATTGATTCGATGCTTGTGTCCGGCAGGCTGAAGACACCCTGAAGCGCAAGGCAAGAAGCAGGTCTGACCGTGCGGCCGTGGTGAAAATGCACATACTCCAAGGTAGGGTCGTCTGAAATCGCTAATCCAGTGCCTGTCAGGGAGACGGGAACGTGGGCCATCGTTCAAGGTTCTTTGTCTCTGCACTGTGGCCGAGTCTGCTTAGAAAGGAGCCACTTCCATTCCGAAGTGGGTTTTGAGCTGTCATCTCGTCATTAGAGGCCATGTAGATGGTCAAATCGAGAAGCCACACGGTGGCCCAGAAGGTACCATACTTGGGGTCCAATCTGAGCTGCACTACTGCTCAGCTTTCTGTGAGCACATAGGGAATATCCAACGTATATCAACTTCCTTTAGGATGTCCATCCTTCATACTAGTAATAAATGTTTAGTTTCAGAAGAGTTTCCCTGGTGGCTCAGCAGTAAAGAATCTGCCTGCAAAGCAGGAGTCTCAGGTTCGATCCCTGGGTTGGGAAGATCCCCTGGAGGAGGGCATGGCAACCCAGTCCAGTATTCTTGCCTGGAGAATCCCATGGACAGGGGAGCCTGGCGGGCTACAGTCCATGGGGTCACAAGAGTCGGACATGACTGAAGCAACTGTGCATGCAAGGCTTACAAAATGATGTTTACTGAGGAGACCAGAAAACAAAACGATATTCACAGTGGAATTCAGGAAAGCAAAGTATATACATAAATTGTATTTATAGTCAGATTCTATGATGAAAAGATAAAGACCTAACAATAACTACTGTGTAAATAATTAAGAAATATACCCAATTATTAAAAACAGTAGATTCTAAGTGGGGGAGGTTTCCCAATGCTTTCATTTCTTTTGCATAACTTTTTTTAGTATTTTCTACACTTACAGCAATATATATGTATCAGTTCAGTTCAGTTCCAAAAAGGAATGTTATCTGTTGCATCATTACCATCTTGAATTAAAATATCAGGCTATGAACCCCGAGAATCGGACACAACTGAGCAACTGAGCCCACATACACATTAATAGAACAGTGGTACTATGAGGTCTGGAAAGATCCCACCTTCTAAATTTTCAGAGTTGAACAGAAAGCAGCAAAGTCTCATGGAACCCTAACTTCCGGTTCTGCCTTATTGCAGCAACTGGCTTTCAAGACTCTCTTCCATGTTCTTGCACAGAAATAAGTCAGAGCCTTGCGCAGAGAGGAATAAAGAGTGATTTAGAGTTTGTCAGTGATCTTTCTACCCTCCCAGTGATGAGAAACTGAGCTGCCTGTTGGGTATATTCATTTTTTAAAATCCCTGTTTAATTAAATAACCATTTCCCTCCAAAATTGTTTCTCTTTTACAACCAGATCAGGACATTTGAATCAGTTAGTATCACAATCTCAACAGGTCTGAAACCCTTAGAAGTCATGCTATCACTATTATTACAAGTGTCTGACTCTTTTGCATCCCCATGGACTGTAGCCCGCCAGGCTTCTCTATCCATGGGATTTCCCAGGCAAGAATACTGGAACGGGTTGCCCTTTCCTTCTCCAGGGGCTCTTCCCGACCCAGGGATCAAGCCTGCGTCTCCTGCACCTCCTATATTGCGGGCAGATTTTTTACCGCTGAGCCCCTAGGGAAGCCCCAGTTACAACAATAGATAATATTTACTGCCAGCTCATCATGGGCCGGGTAGTACCCAGGTCTCCTGCATTTCAGGCGGATTCTTTACCAGCTGAGCCAACCGGGGAAGCGCATACAGACTGGATGGGCATGCAGATGCTGTCATTTAAAGTCAGTAAACGAGGCAGGCCCTGTGAACTCTTTGCTTACAGAATCAACAAATCGCACATTTCCCCCCAAAATCCTCACAAAGCCAGTTTCTCTAACTCTTCTATGCTCTTCAATTTGCCTTTATTTGGAAGTGTCTGGTCTTTGCTGCTAATTCATGTGAAATGAGGATGATTGCATCGAAAAATTATTAGGATGGTGGCGTACAATGTGTCAGAGTGTTTGGGTTACAGAAGCAAGAGACAGAATAAAAATAAAACCACAAAAATGACATCAAATTCTAGATCCAGTCCTCTTGATTTTAACCCCTCAGCCTCCACTGCAGAGAGATCAGTTCCGACTGCCCAGATGAAGCTGAAAAGAGCCCGTCTCGCAGATGACCTCAACGAAAAGATTGCTCTCCGGCCGGGGCCGCTGGAGCTGGTGGAGAAGAACATACTCCCTGTGGACTCCGCTGTGAAAGAGGCCATTAAAGGTAATTAGCACCAATGGCAGGCTTCCTCCATGCTGGGATCTGAAAGCAGCCCTGGCTCTGAAGTGCTGGGGTCCTGGGGGTGAAGGTGGCTCACTAAACAAGAGTCTATCCATGGGTAACTGTTCCAGGATGTTCCCAGAAATCCCAGGAATGAGGAAGAAATTCCCAGCCATCCCCCTCCAATGTCAGGTTGACATAGACCAGGGTGGTTCTGGTCAAGCAGGTCAGAACGTCTCCCCCATGGGGATCCATCACTCGAGTCATGGTGCGCCTTGGGTCCCTCTTTTAAAGGGGTGGAGACTGGCAGAACAGAAAGAGCCCTGGACCTGAGTGGGAAGAACTGGGCGCTAAGCCCAGTTTGGGCTCTGTGGGCTGAGAAGTGTTGGTTACGCAGTTGTGTCTGACTCTTTGCTTCCCCATGGACTATAGCCCGCCAGGCTCCTCTGTCCAGGGAATTCTCCAGACAAGAATACTGGAGTGGATAGCCATTCCCTTCTCCAGGGGATCTTCCCAACCCAGGGATCAAACCCAGGTCTCCTACATTGGAAGCAGATTCCTTACTGTCTGAGCTACCAGGGAAGCCCCCCCAAAAAAAATATATATATATATATTTATTTAAAATATACATCTAAATATATATATTTAAAAAGCTGATCCTCTGTCACGAATATTACACATCCTTTTATCAACATGTCCTATACCTTTTTTGTTTGTTTTGTTTCTGTCCTTTGTCTTTTGATTTTCTATGTAGTATATTTTACCTGTAGCAGTTTTTAATTTCTGTATAGTTCAATCTCTTAATCTTTTTCTTTGGGTTTCTGAATGTTATTGCTTACTGAAAACACTTCTTACCTCAAGAATGGAGTTATTCACCTGTTCTGTTTTCTAACATGTTTATACTTCATTTTTATATTTCAGTCTTTATGCTGAAATATAAAAGTACTTATACTTTTATATATGAGAGTGCATGGTTTAAGAGACAAGGTCTGGTTTTCTTTTTTCCACAATTTTAGCGGTTTATTTATGATGTGTCTTGATCTCTTGTCTTCACAAGGCTCTTTTACATTGGCCTGATTTTTCTCATGTTTCTTGGCTACTCTTACAAGTTTCTGGTTGGTGAAATTTAGGATCAGTTTCTCATATGCCAACTTCAATCCTGTGAGAATGTTGTTCAGGATTGCAGTGAATTTATAGGCCAAGTTATGGTGAATTCATATGTTTAAATTATATGAATTGTTCTGAGGCAAAAAGATAGTATCTCTTTTCACCTTCACAAGCCTTTTTTAAAAAATTTCCCCTGGTAAGGTTTTCAAAAATAAATTCGTATCAGTTATTGCTTGCCTCTGGGAAACCTATTAATTTTGCACATTTATTTTGTAACTGGGGTGCTTGAAGATTTTCTTAATAGTTCCAGTAGTTTCTCATTTTATCTTAAATTGTTTGGATATATAATCACATCATCTGCGAATAATGAAGATGCGCCTTCTGCTTTGTTCCTCCTTTCTCTCTGGAAGTGCTAGCTAGTACTTGAAAAGAAACATCATAAATTGCAAAATATCATTTTAAGTTACATGCAGTATATGCATAGCACAAATTATATATAATTTTGTATATTTTATTTATAAATTACCTATTTGTATTTGTAAATGATATATAAATGATAACAATAGAGTGTATTATACAAGTCAAATATATCTTTTATTATACATAAAATATACAGGTGTGTATCTAACCTATAAAATTATATGTATGAATTATATAAAGCACATATAATTTATATAACTTCACATTATGCAGTTTTATTATATAATTTAATAATTATTGATATATTACATAGAAGAAAATTATTATTATTGCTATATTGCTAGTGCTTCAAAAACCGTATTATAATGTTATATATTGGATTGGCCAAAAAGTTAGTCCAGTTTTATTTGTGATGTTGATGATAACACTTTTATTTGATTCAGTCTTCCTTGGGAATTTCTCTAGTCATTCACCTCTAAATATGATACTGACTTTTGCCATAAACAGATATTCTGAGGAAGTGTTTGTTCTAGTCCATTATTAAGAGTAGCTTTTAAGATGGATGCTTAGTTTTTAAAATGCTTTCCACATTCATGAAAAGATGACCATCTGAGTTTCTCTCTCTCTTCTAGGAATGTGGTACTACTGTCTTTCTTAATCATCCTTGTATTTCTGGAAATAAATCCTACACGGATATTTTTCCCCTAGAAATTGCTAGAATTTTATTTGTGAATTTTACATCTCTTTTGTTATTAGTTGGGATAACAGAAGCTGCTAACCAAACCACAAAATTTCAGCTGCTTAACAATAGACATTTATTTCTTATTTATAAATGATCAAAAGCTATTCATCAGAGAGGGTTTTCTTCTATGGCAAGCCTTTCAGGCACACAGACTCCTCTGGTCTTGCTACTCCATCATTCCCTAGCACAGAGGCAGCAAACTTAAAGAGCTAGATAGTAAGCAAGCTCTCCAAGCTGTCACAACGACTCAGCTCAGCCATCGTAGTGGACGAGGAGCCGCAGGCAATACATAAACAAATGGGCATGGCTGTGTTCCAATAAAGCTTTATTTACAAACAGACAGCAGGCTCACCAGCTACAAATTTGCAAACCTGTGCCCTGCAGCCTTATCATCCTCCAAATCTAGCCAGAGAAGAGAAAAGAAAGGAATAGCAGTTTCACAGAAACATCACTATACTATGGAAGAGGGAGGGGGATGTAAATTTTGATGAATAGCTTTTGATCAAGAACCTGAACAAGAGTCAAGATGTGGGCACAGAAAAAAATAGCATCTGAGAGGCACTTGATATGCATTGTTTGATACTGGTAGAATGTGTCAGCATGGACAAAAAAAGAGTCACAGATGACCAACCGTGGTTTCCCTGTTGGTCAGCTGGTTAAATGGGAGCCATGTATCAAGATGGGAACTGTGAGCAGAGGAGCAGATCCGGGGGGAGAGGATGAATTCCTGTTCCATGTTGGAGCTGAGGGATCCACAGGAACTCGAGGGGCAGGGGTTCAGTAAGCAGGGGTTTCTACCAAACTAGACTGCAGAAGAAAGTCTTGGCCTAGAGCTAAAGACTTAGAAGACTATGGGAATTTAAACTGATGGACTTGCTAAGAGATCCCTTTCATGTATTCATTTCTTCATTTAATGATTATGGAGCATCTTCTGTGTGTCAGGCACTATTCCAAGTGTTTGCAATATATTAATGAACAAAACCTACAAAAATGTCTGATCTAGCAGAGCTTATATTCTAGTACAGAAGACATAGATGATCAGCAAAACCTGTGAATAATTATATATCCTAATAAAAAGTGATAAATGGTGTGAAAATAGAAGTTGTGCAGGGTAGAGAGTGCCCAGTAGAGGGTGGTTGGGTGGATGGAAGGAAGTATAAAAAGTGAAGAAAATAATGTATAAACAGAGGTAGGGGTCTGTGAAGAATAAAGAGAAGGAAAAGCTAGAGAAAAAGGTGGTGGAGGTTGACCTCACCCAGGAAAGCCCCATGCGTCAGCCTGTTCAGCAGCAATCTTTCAACGTGCATGAATTTCTACCAGCAAGGCAATGGCATCTTCAGTTCAGTCTCTCAGTCATGTCCAACTCTTTGCAACCCCATGGACTGCAGCACACCAGGCTTCCCTGTCCATCACCAACTCCCAGAGCTTACTCAAATTCTTGTCCATCGAGTCAGTGATGCCATCGAACCAGCTCATCCTCTGTCATCCCCTTCTCCTCCCGCCTTCAATCTTTCCCAGCATCAGGGTCTTTTCAAATGAGTGGCATCTCATGACATGTCATCTATCTTATGACATGTCATAGGGACAGAGGAAGCTTCCCAGAGACAAGCTGTAGAAATAGCCCTCTGAGTAACCCTTCCAATGGCACTGGTAGTCCCCACCCATCTCCGGGCTGTCACTTCTCTGGATCTCATCCTCCACCCTCAGCAAAGCAGTGACTCAGGGTGGTGGTTTTCTGTGTATTGTTCTCCTGGCCTCTGTGTATTTTCCCTCCTTGGACCACGCACCTTTCCAGATGTGTTTATATTTTCCAGCTCCCTCCACAGCTGTGCATCTGTGTTTCTGCCAGTCCCAGAGTGAAACGCTCATTGTCTTCCTCCCCGCTCCCCGACCCAGGTTTTATTCAAGACCAATTTTTCTTCAACACGAAGATGAAATAAAGTAGAACATCTCACAAGGAGGCTGTTGACAGAGAACCAGCCCCCACTGTGGGGTTTTTCTTCTCCTTGGCAGCTGTCCCCACCCTTGCTCTCAGCTGAGTGTCTAGCAAATCTTTCCACCTACACATTCCTCTCCTTTGAGACGCCAGCCAACCATCACTCTTCCAGCCTGCAGGTGTATTTTCTGAGTCAGGAAGAAGTTTACAGATTCCAGCTGGAGGAAACTTAGGCTTCTGTGGGCTATAGTGATATGATGTGAAAGGAAAGGGGGCTTGGTTTTTATGTTCTTTTTTGTTCGTTTTGTTTTTTATGTTCTTTTTGGTTTGTTTTGTTTTTTAATTTATTTGTTTTTAGTTGGAGGATAATTGCTTTACAATACTGTGTTGTTTTCAGCCACACATCAACATGAATCAGCCAAAGGTGTACATATGCCCCCCGCTCCTGAACCCTCCTCCCACCTCCTTCCCCATCCCGCCCCTCTAGGGTGTCACAGAGCATTGGCTTTGGGTTCCCCGCATCATACAGCAAATTCCCACTGGCGATCTATTTTACATATGGTAACGTGTATGTTTCCGTGAGGCTCTCTCAATTCGCCCCACCTTCTCCTCCCCTCACTGTGTCCACAAGTCTGTTCTCTGTGTCTGCGTCTCCATTGCTGCCCTGCAGATAAGTTCACCAGTACCATCCTTCTAGAGCCACATATATGCATCAATATACAATATTTGTTTTTCTCTTTCTGACTTATTTCACTCTATGTAATTGGTTCTAGGTTCATCCACCTCATTAGAACTGAC